GCATGGGTCAGAGCTGGCGTGAGGCACCGCACATTTTCACGTCGAGTTTGGATTTTATAAATCACAACCTTGGCGTGAAAAGTGGCGTACGCAAGTTTCTGGGCTCAAATTGTGCGTACGCCAGTTTTATAAATCCGACCCCAGATCTTTAAGTTTAATACCACAATAGCTCTAAACAGTCTGTGCATAAATAAACAAAAAAATAATAGTAAAAAATTTCTGGGGAAGTACTTATTTGTGAAGAGTCAGGATTTTTAGCAGAAGATTTTTGGAAGTTTGTGAGCCATGAGCTGGAACAGCTGTCAGGTTGGTATCTGAGGAGTTTGACAACTGTATGAACACCTCCAACTCTGTGTCATGTTCTGTCTGCCTTTCCTATACAGTTTTTGAAAGGCCCAGTGCTGTCCTGTTGAGAGGGTTTGCCACTGCAAAGGGAGTTCTGTTGCACCGATGGAAGGGTGTGTTTGGTCAGCAGAAATGTTAAAGTGGGCGGCAAGTGTCAAATTAACATCCACGTGAAGCCAAGATGCAGGGTTTTTTTCCAGCAGAACATTGTGCTGCAAGATAGTGGGCAGTATTGGTTCGTCTGTCTGTCACAGTTGGCTGATTGGTGAAAATTTTAATCTTATATTAAACGGAGCATGAAGAAATGCCTAATAATCAATTCGTAAACGAAACAAAACTCCAAAAACAGTGTCTGTTCCAGAAATGACCAGAGATTTGGTCATAGGTGCGAAATAAGTTTCTTACCCGATAAAAAGATAGGTTTGTCTTCAGTTTTGGCCTTCTCAAAAGCCTCCTGTCCCCATGGATACCTGAGGAAAAAAAAACAAAACAACCAACAATAGATMAATAAATTCTCACTCTATAAAACCTGTTTTGAGAACATCTGGAGTTGAAAAAGAGCTCACCAGTCAACAGGATTATGAGCATGTTGTAAAAGGTAAGGTGATCTCTCTTTGGCCAACCTGTTTGTGTGTTTATGATGACTGGATGATGACTGCTCACCTCCTGTTGCCATGCTCCTACAGACAGATGGGCTGAAAACAAAACTACATTCTCAAAACTCAGTCTGAATGATTATGTAGAGAAAACTTCACTTAGATTATTTATCGCTCCAGAAGCTGATATTTACACTTCAAATAAAATGCTTTCTTTATGATGTTGTGTTAACTACACAGTCTCAAKTTTKTTTAATTTAAATAAATTACTGAATGACTGTTATTCAGATCTAACTATTTGACACCTWTATCACTGAATTATTTATAAGTTGTACTAGAAAAACAGAAAAAGGTGGCTTCCTTCAGAGATCACCACYTGGATCATCTGCCCCCTCCTCCTCTGTAAAATCACCTCTCTGCAGATTGTTTCTTTGTTGTCTTCCTCTTTTCCTCCTCCCTGTCAGCTCCAAGTTTAACATATTCTCTATACTTCTCCATCAACACTCTCAAAGCAAACGTCTCACATGTAGAGATCTTACCCACATTGTCATGGTCCAAACTATACTGTAATGTAAATTTATCCCTCTGTAGTTATTGCACCTCTGCACGTTCTCCTTATTTGGGAAATTCTATAGTAGACACTTAGGCTGAGTTAATAAAACTAATAGGAGCAGAACACGAGCTAAAAGATTAAAAGAGCAAAATACTAGCTAAATGCAGTAAAATTGTAGCTAAAACTAAACAGAGGAGGTAGCCGAAACACAAAAAAAGGACAATGTTTTTTGAAGAAACTGCAAAGACTTTAATGTATTTTTTTGGGGCAATTTCAAAAGTATAGCTACAGAAACTAAAAGTAATGGCACTTATCTCCTACGATAAAGGTCTCCGACAATATTGTATGACACCCATTAAATATCCAGGAAAATGTCCTATAATTTTGTTCATCTTTCATAATATGATAGCATGAAATTATGTCTTGTATTTGTTTCCCAGAATTAAAAATGGCTTGCATATTTCAGTGTAAACTTTTTAATCGAGGGTTTGCATCTTCTGTTTGTTCCACAAGGTTTAAAAAAAAYGCAGTAAGAATAAACAATTTATATAACAGATCTTTATTTTTAGGTAACAAAATATATTTTTTTATAATTGATATCTGTGTAAAATGAGTTCTGTTATCTTTGGTAAAGCACTTATAGAACAAACTGTATTTATGGGCGAATAGGCAGAAGATAAATGGTTCTTGTTGCAAAGCCCTGTTCTGCAGCATGAGTCTGTACACACAACAGCCCACAGGCAGCTCAAAACTCGTGTCCCRGAAAWTAAAACTGGCTGTTTTAGAAGATAAATTCGGCTGTAATAATTACAGCACACAGTGCATAATGTTGGATTTTTGACATGTAAACAACAAGGACACAGCTACACGACCCTGAGTACAAGTGAACCGAAACTAGCAAAATCGGTAAAATAAATAACAACATAGAAGCAATGGAGGTTTATTAACGTGTGTTAACCATGCCGAACTGAAACAAATAGCATTTCCACTTTAGCTAATGCGTGTGTACACTGGTGCATCTCCCTCGGCAGTAGTTAGTGGTAAGAGTATTTAATGTTTAATGATTATTTACGGAGTTTCACGCCGTTCGATCATAGTGGCTACTGACTGACATGCTACATGCAGCATTATCATGCGCTAAAAACGTAACATAACACTGTTTTGCGCAGCTGGCTCAGGTGTTTGTTTGGACTTAGTAAGATTAGCAAGCTAGCGTTAGCTACCATTTAGCCGAGTAAGGTTTACCTGGGGTAGCAGGCCGYCTGGGGCTGGAGGAACAGTGACCCTTTCCTAAGTAGTGGGAGGGGGGTTTGCCTGAAGCGCCTGCTGGGACCCTCTGAAACCTGGTGTGGTGGACTGTCCGCTCCCAAAACAGCTGCAGTTAAAGATCGTATTGTCACCACAAGGCTGTTTTTAGACGCCGAGTAACTCCATGCTGGTCTTAACATCGTAATCCTATTTACTGTAGGTTTTCTTTAGCAACAAGCTAACCTTGGCCAGGCTACTTTGTTGGGACAAACACAAACATTAGCATTATTCACACTTTCTGCATTACCGCATTTTAACACACGGGGACGCTCCAACAGACCGCTGGAGTATATGCTCTTCAATTAATGAATGTACATTGATGGAATGCATATCACCCGCCGCCTTTTTCCATAGTTAAAGCTAAGATCATCTGTGCTGTGAAATGACAGAATTGAAACCATGTTGGTCAGAGGAAGCTGAAGTTAGCTTCCGATTCCAGCTTCCGATTCGGGAAATGACTAAAGGGATATTACAACTAATTTTTCACTAACTTGCGCGTG